AAATATTAAAGGAAGGGGGCCGTTTTGTGATGAAATCGTCCTGTTAACCGAATTCAGTTTTATTCATAGGATAGGTACAATGTGACTAGGGGAGTCGAACTGAACATTGTCGAAACCTTAGAACTACTTCTCAAGAGGAATTTTATCACTTGAATATTTTCTGGGCTCAAAGCCTAGTGGAAATCCTATTTACTATGTTTTGTCGTTCCATTTCACAGTTAACCACACTTATTATATACCACTCGAAAGCTCTTTTCTTCAGCAACATTTCTGTATATAAAACATTGAAAACTGCAGTCTTATGGTGATCTGTTTTCTTTACGCTACTCGATTAAAGATACCATCTGCTGGGCGTTTTGACGGGCTACAATCTGGTATACAGACATTTGCAGAAAAAGTGTAATAGTGTAGGTTTTATGAGTTTAATACTAGACGTTTCAATACGTCATGACTATGATAATGGAACTCTTTATCACTTTTTTCTATGAAACTAAAGAGGATATCTAATCATTCATATATCATTCGATGCGTCTTGAAAAGCTCTACAATGTATGTTAATAGGAAACTTAACGAAGCTTGATAACGGCTTTTGTGTATTAAATACTTCGCCGCTTAAACCTACAGTGGGTCGAAAAATTATTCGTCCACCTTTATTTTTCATTTTTCTCATCGACTATAATAGCTAGAACAAATCTGAAAAAAGATTCGAACAGTTGAAACAATGCTCGATCTGATGTGGTATATACAAAGGTGCTATCGAAAGTTCCGAAATTAGGGCTCTGAGATTTGGATTTTCCAGACGGGTTTTCATGACGTATTGAAACGTCTAGTATTAAACTCATAAAACCTACATTATTACACTTTTTTCGCAAATGTCTGTATATCAGATTGTAGCCCGTGAAACGCTCTATCAGATGGTATCTTTAATCGAGTAGCGTGAAGAAAACAGATCACCATAAGATTGCAGCTGTGGAGAATAGATCTCACATCTCACATAGTAATAAATGCTATTTCGATTTTTTCTCTGCTCAAATGCAATTAGTTTTCAACGTTTTATATACAGAAATGTTGCTGAAGAAAAGAGCTTTCGAGTGGTATATAACAAGTGTGGTTATGCCCCTCTAGTCACATTGTACCTACCCTATGAATAAAACTGAATTCAGTTAACGGGCCGATTTCATCACAAAACGGCCTCCCTTCCTTTAATATTTAGCTCAAAAGATAGAGAATTTAATTCTCTAGAAAACTGTAGATTTTGTTTTAAAATTATTTTTGAACTTCAGCAGAATATTCACGATATTAAAATATTTTAACTTTGTAAACGGCACAGACTGAATTTAACTTCTTCTGTGAAACGTTACTGATCTCGCAATTTAATGTTGAGATAATTATTTTAATGTCAAAATATGCAGAATTTTACGTTGTACAACCTGACATTCGTTGTGTTAAATGATTATTATTTTTTTGCGAGAAAGAAAATCCTAAGTTGACTGACTCAATTTCAAAATCCATATTATCGATATTTTGCTCTCACATTCAAAATTTAAAGTCATACATTTTATATCAAAAGATGCCACTTTACAAGATCACATACACCAGAAAATAAAGTTGTAAATTTAATTTTAGTAGACTATAAAACTTTCATGAGAAACTCTTGCCAAAGCCACCTTGACTTTGAAGAATTTTGTTTTGCCACATGAAGTATAGAACTTTGTACAGAATTTTGCGCTGAATTTAATAGTATATTGCGTTTTGATAAATAAATCTTTTGTAGTCAAATACGCTAAGAAGAACTCCAATTAGATAGATGATCAGTTTTCATAATTCATATTTTTATTCCTACAAAACAAAATCGGCAGTTCAAAGATAGAGAACTAAATTCTCTATCTTTTAAGCTAAATATTAAAATTTTAAACGCAAGTCAATATGGATAAAAATTGAATAGAAAAGTGCTTCAGGACTTCTGCCTCACCCTATATTTGAAACGATATTAAGGGTACCCCCCCCTTTTTAAATACAAGTCAATATGGATAAAAATTGAACAGAAAAGTGCTTCAGAACTTCTGATCCATCCTATATATATAATATACTGCTCGTTCCATTAAGATGACAAATGAAGGGAAAGATTGAATTTGAGTTAAAGATCGTTGGGAGTAACCGGATGGAGAACCAGTAATTATCTCTTAACTTTTCCTTACTAGACTCGTTCTTATTGATGTTACATATTGATAGGATCAAATGTTATTCTTTAAACTCAACAAAATAAAATTTAGCTATCGCATTATTAATAAAGAAAGGCTGATACGTTTTCTAATCGGTTAATCTATAAATGATTAGATCACAACTCTGGCTTAAAAACGACCGAAAAATCAGGCGATAAAGCAGGTAAAGTTGAAAAGTTCATCCTTTGCTCGAAATCTATAAATAAGTTGAACATAACAAAGTTGTCTATCATTTGTAAGATGATGAAAGAAGCTTTTTTTGCTCGTTTTAATAGCTTGCTCGAAAATCACATATTTACAAATAATGTTCATATTACATCAGCAAAGTACAGTGAATGATCATTAGATAAAAATTTTTATATAACTTTACCTGAAAATCCGACTAAAAGAAAATCGAACATCTAATTGCAAATTAGTATTATTGATAATTAGTAACTATTAACAATCCAGGTATCTACTATTGATAAATCTTGTGCTGATCCTTTAACAATACTAGGTAATGATCACTTTTCCTTTTCTGACATTTTTATTTTTTTGTTTCTATTTGTTTATCAGTTTCAATTATTAACTCTCAACCAATCGTTACTTTTCTCAGATGTGGTAGTCAATATAGATCATAATGGTTTAAACATTGTCGGTTGTCGAGGAGGTATTATTAACACAAAATACAATAGAAAAGGTCTTGAACGCTACGAAAAACAACTTTAAAATTAATCATTATAGTTATACTCAATTGTAGCTAATGAATCAACACTTTGTAATTATGGACTTTTTCATTTGTGGCTGTCTTTGTAGTTGTGAAACTAATAGATGCAAGTATAAAGAAAATGATATGTTTCATGTACTTCTCGTTGTCATTTGTCAAAAACCATGTAAAAATAAAACTTTATTTATTATCTAAATAATTAATCAGTTCATTATGTTTCATGAGACTTTTTTAATGAGAGATTTCTAGAACACTCTCCGGGAATATATAAATTCCTGAAAGAATGTGCATATCTCCTAGGGTATGCGTACGTTTCCTGATTACCTACATTCCCTGTAACATAAATAATATATTCGAAAAAGATGAACCATATAGTCCGGGATCGTTTGTTATCAATTCAGATTAGCTATTCTTTATGGAACAAACACATGGAATGACGATTCTTTTTGTTAATAGCTATTTATGCTATTCTATAGGGTACAAGTCATTATAAAAATGTTACTTTCACATGTTAACACGCATACTAATAACTCAAACGATGATTTTGAAATGTTCAAGAACAAAACTGATTAAGTTAATAATTCAACATGCCATAAGACGAAATACTGACTCGTCTCACTCTCATGTACCAATCTCACACTCTCAGACTATTTTAAGTAAAGTCTGTAGAATCCACACTTCAGAGTTCAATCTTGAAAATTTCAAAATAAAAGTTGATTGATTTAGACTAACATCTTTGATTAAGACAATTTTTAAGTTTTACTTAATATTTTTATACGTTCGAATATTATGTTCTAATAACTGCATGACTTGTTCAATTTAACCGATTAGTCATAGAATTTTAAAAGAAAAAGTTTTTGTTAAAAAACACTTCCTAAGTTTCTTTAAGTCTCAATATGTCTATGATAATTATCTGCGTATCTTGATCTGTCTCCATCTATCTTTTTAGACAATTCTATAACATTATCATTAATTATTACGTGTCTTAAAGCAAATTGAGCTATTTATTCTTCGATCACTGTTCTAATATCCTTCATAATTATAAATGTTCTAATTTTTGTTGGATTATTAGCGGCATTCCTTATTCTGTATATAGTCTAAAAAGTTGCTATTTTTAGTAATTTTTTTCTTCCTCTTGTACTCACTTGGCTTCTATTTTTCTCCTATTCATTTTGAATACATACATACAAAAAGAAAATTGCTAAAAAAAAGAATGAAAATAAAACAACAGAACAAAAACGATCTAGTGTATGCATTAAGTGACAAACTTTAAATGCACCTGTAATTGAACTAAGGACAAAATTATTTTTGTAAGAATAACAATATTTACGTATAAATCGGGTTTTTTGCTGGTGTCGGCAATATTCATCGAACAGGAAGCATCATTTATATTATCCATGAACAACTCTAAAAAAAACACTTTTACTTCTTCCACAATTTCTTTTCTTCTGTCATCATCATCATCATAGAGTTTTATTTTATGTAAAAAGAGTAGAACAAGATTTGTGTTTTTTTATTGAATCAGATGATAATCTGTCACGATGTTAATTTCATTCTTTTTTTTTTTTCTCTTTTTTTTCTCACTTAAAAAAATGTCAAACAACAAATAATAGAGTCTCGTAAACAAAACACTTCATATTCTTTTTTTTTTTTAATACAATCAACTAGGCACTTTTAGATAAATAGCAAATGACAATCTAAAAACGAAAAGAATTTGAATTAAAACCCTAAAACGTCTAAGTGTCAATATTGATTTCACAAAATAATAATAATAACTTCGTTAAGTGTACTACTCATCAACTATTTTAATAGTTTAAACCTGGTACGAGTCCGATTGTGTTCGATCATTTATCAGGTAAGTGAGAGAGTATTCTTGATAAAATCAACTCATATAGACGCCAAGTTTGTAATATTATGGGATAATGATGTGTGATAGTTTTTGAATAAAAAAAAAATTAATTGTTATTTCCATTTATCGTTAACTCGAAGATTACTATAGATTTTCTTTCAAATGAAATACACCGCCCATCTTGTAATATTTTAACATGATTAAAAATTTCTTTCACCATTCGTAATTTCATCCTGACTATTTGTGTCTATCTATAAACATTTGCAGGATTTGTGAAATGCATTACCATTTTTATTTTACTATTCTGACACGTATAATGAGAGATGGTAAAATAATCTACGCATCTATTACAGGCTATAATCATTTCTATAACTAATAACTAATTTGTTAATGATGATAGATTAGCAATAACTGTCAAAATTTGTACTGTTTTTAAAGAACTACTATTTGGCAAAATATGTTCCACTATGTTTAAGAATACACTCAATTACAGTGGCAGCTTTAAAGTAAACATGAGTACTGTAATTTTTGATTTGTGTTTTGTGTATTATAATGTCACTTTCATTACATTGAATGATTTCCGTACGATACGTCTTTGGTATAATGGAAGATAAATACTCCACTAGGAGATTATCCTATCATTTTTGCCTTAGGGTAAGGGTGACAAGTGTCACTTTCATTAGTATAATATCTTCTTCACAGATGACCTGCTTCTGACATGGTTACTTATATCGTTACTGTTCGTTAACTATAGGTCTGATTCAAGTGCTAGTCTCCTAATACAGAGTTCTTTTTTGTTCAATTGCTTGAATTTCCCATAAACTGATTAATCTAATGAGTTCTATCTTTAGATAATATAAAACACTCCTAATCAAACTCTTATTTAATAATGCTCAGTGAAACTGAAGTATCCTTTTTTGTGACAGGATATATAATGCATCAATAAAGGACAAACTACTATGTAATTAGTTTTCTATTTTTCTTTCTAGAGGAAATGCATGTTTATTTTTCCAGATAATTATTTGACAGATAATAAAACCTGTTTGAGACTATATAATCGTTGAATGACATGAAATCTGTTGACGAAAATCGACGTTAAACAAAAATAAGAAATATAGAATTTGTATCTATGGGTAAACGAGACGAATGACGAAAGTTATGCTTTGCATCTAAAATGTTTTAATTCTCTGTTCGACAGGTAATCTAGTTCTTTTTTTCACTTATCAAAAAATATATGATTGACTCCTCAAAGTTTATTCCCAATTATTATTTTATTTAATATAGATAAAGACTGCGCGAATTTATGTATAGATCTATAAAATCAGTGTTCTCTTTCTCAATATACCATATTTCTTTCAGGTAGTCAATGGACCAAATATGTGCCACTTTTAAATGATAGACGAATGCTGTATTTAATTGTTCGTTTACTAGTATTATTTATTTGGCATTTCGATCTTATCAAATGTTTATCTAAATCACCATACATAAATACAACATCCGGAGAATTTTTCGGTCAACAAATAATCGTCAGAAATGTTTTTGTACACCGGTTTTATGGCATACCCTATGCTGAGCAACCACAACGTTTTGAGCTACCCGTCATGCGTTCGTATAATTCAACTTCAACATACGCTACGCAGATAACGTCCGGATGTTTACAAGCTCCCGGTGGTCTCAATTATGGACCGTTTGATTTATCGGATCTGTACGGCGAAGATTGTTTAACATTAAATATATTCATTCCGCACGACGAACGAGCAATAAAAAAGAAGAAGGCAATTATGGTGTTTTGTCATGGTGGTTCGAATCAAGTTGGAAGTGCATCGTTGTTTGATGGTAGTGTAATAGCAGCATTAGGTGACGTTATTGTTATCAGCATTAATTATCGTCTAAATATATTCGGCTTTTTATCGCCGGACAAACATATAATGAAAGGAAATTATGGATTGCAAGATCAATTATTGGCACTCAAATGGATATCGATAAACGCTGAGCTGTTTAACGGTGATAATCAACTAATAACATATGTAGGACATTCAGCAGGTGCCGCAAATGTTGCCTTAATGGCGATGTCGAAAAAATCAAAAGGTTTGATACGTCGTGTTATCTCACAAAGTGGATGTCCATTAAATTTGTGGTAAATGCTCAAAAATAAACATCTGAAGTTGTATCATCCATTACTGATGTATAATCTATAAGTAATCTCTTATTTTTAAGGGCAATTGATCATAATCCGTCTATAAGATTTAATAATGCTGCAAAACGTAATGGTTTCAAAATAAAAAATGATGTTGCTAGTAAACGTGCCATAGTTCAAGGTTTAAAAAATCTGTCATCGAATGAGTTTCGATACATGTATCATTCAGGACTGGAAATATCGCCTGAGTATCCATTTCCAATAATCGATGATGATATATTAGAATCGAATTTAGAGCAGATGATACACGATGAACCATTTCGAAGTGTAGACATGCTAATTGGTGTTACAGGTAAGTTCTATTGAGTTAGAAAAGAAATTTGATTGAATATACCTGTGTCTATTTTTAGCTGATGAAGCGTTGTACTTCGCAGAAGAACACATATTTCATCATTATTTACCAAGACAATATCGAAGTACTCCTACTCCTACGTCTTATAGTACCATCACCACTTCAACATCCGTAACTGCAATGAAAGGTCAAATGGACAACGAAGTACAACCAAGAGGATTTATGTATTTTACAAAAAATAAATATATCAGAAAGTATCTACAAACAAATTATCCTCATCATTTGTGTTTTTATGAAGAAATAGAACGACGTTATATGCCGAAAACTAAATCAAACCTAAGTGAAATATCACATTTATACACCAGTTTAGTCAGGTATAAATAATTAACTTTGAAGTTTAAAAACAAAAGTAAATATCTATAAACTTTACACGAATCTGTTTTAGTGATTTAATGTTTTATTATGATTTAATACGTTTTTTGCATGAACGACTGAAATCCAAGACACAAGCAAAGACCTATGCATATTATTACACCTATCCTCCTATATTTGATTTAGAAAATGTTTTGAGGTTTGTATTTTTAAAAGTATATAGAGTCGTGATCACGGAAAACTCATGTATACATTTTAGAGGTCCAGATTTAGTTGGACATTTTGCTGAATTAGATCTAACATGGGGAGTACCATTCTACGGTAAATATAATATAACAAATCCTGCTTACAATATGAATTTATCCTATACAAAAGAACAATTTGATTTGAGTGAACAAATGATACTTTACTGGACAAATTTTGTGAAAACCGGTAAATTTTGTTTAGCTTTGTGGCTGAATGAATGAATATTCAATAGTATTTTATTTCGCTATGTTTAGGAGATCCGAATAACCCAAATGATATTCAAGTTCATTGGCCACCATATGAACAAACAAAAAAATCATTTATTAATCTTCATGCTTCAAATATTAGAACAGAAAATCATTATTTAGAAGAACGTTTTCTGTTCTGGGATACGATACTAAATCATCGAACATGTTCTCATTTTCAATGGTATCACACAACATTGCTCGTTGGAATATTGATCTTGACTTTGTTTTTAATTTTCACATACATATTCTATAATACAAGATGTTCAAGACGAAATATCAAACCGACAGATGAAAATAATGTTCTATCTACTTATCGGTTTCTGCCAATAATGTGATCACAAACGTAGACCATTTCATCGATTATTTTATACTGATGCTGGTGCTAAAATGAAATAAATTACAGAAGAATGCTGGTTCAGTCACTTATTGACAGTTTCTAACGACTATTCACTTGTATTACGTTTATATTATCATGGTGAAAATATGTGTTACCACAAAACATGGTGGTACCTTATCCATTGATTATCAGTTGAAACATTTCTCATACACCCGTTTTTTTTTTAAATGAGTGATTATTCTTTTTTTAGTGAACACCCGCTGGCGGGATTACTATTATTTTTCTCATGTATTTTAAACCTTTTTTCTTCGTTATAAAAGAAGAAAAGTTCTGTGAACATATCTGAACAGTAGTACATGCTGTAACGGAGTATTCACTTGAGCAAAAAAAGAAGCTATTGAAGCCTAATAGAGTTTATTTTGACAGTTTATCTTTTGCTGTATTTTCTGTTTTCTGTATTCTAATTATATAAATTGTATGCGATACAATAAGAAACTATTGTCTGGGATTTGATTATCGCATATGAATACTAGTACGTATGGGACAGATGGAACTGGTGTTATCATTCTCTAAAATTTATTTATAAACGCATACAATGTAAATCGATGAATTCAAGAGTGCAATACACAGCACAAACATTTGATGTGCGTTATGCGTCATCAGAGGTGTAACAAACAGAGGTGGGCGATGGACGAGGATCCTCGAGAGATCCCGCGATTCTTCACAGAGCGGACCTCGCGAGGAAAATTTTTGAAAGCTTGACGAGGCGAACCCTGCAACGGATATTTTTTTTGTGAGCGAAAGATATTATGTTTATTTTTATCTATTTTTATAATAAAGTTGATGGTTCTACTTGTGAACCAAGATAAAACAATGAATACCTAACTTATGCGCTCTAAAAAAGAGGACTTCTTCAGAAAACTGAAACTGTGTTTTTCATTTGTCTCAAATAGGGATCTGATATAAGTTTTCTGAAAATTTGTAAAACTGATATTTTCATTTTCCGGAAGAACAGAAATTGAGTTTTTCATTTTTTCAGATCCCTATTTGGGACATTTGTTTTCTAGAAAACATTAGGTCGAAAAACACATTTCTGTTATTCGCCTTTTTCAAAAGTCTGGATCTTAATTCCTCTTTTCATCAGCCAAGTGTTTTTAATCAATGCGATATCTGAGATCATATTTATAATTATTTTTTATACACTATAAATGTTATCAACTAGAAACCTGCACAGGTAGACAAAACTCTGTAACCCATATCCTAACGCGGCCGCCAGTTGGAACCTGATTCGATCCGGGTTGAATCAGGTCTCTAACTCTATTGTCAAGGACAAATATATGCTCGAAGTGTGCACATTGTGGTACATAAATAGAAATTTACTACATTTTTAAGAATAAGTTTAAGCTTCTGTAAGAAAAGATCATGTTCGTTGTATGTATTAGAAATCACAAAATAAAAGCGGCGATCGAAATATCTGATTTTCTTTTCCTTTTTCAACTTCGAGATCTTCAGAGAACTCAATAGAAATATTGTGTTTTCCAAATCTTGAAAAACAAACTTTCTGAAAAACTAAAATGAGCCGAAAAACTGAAATGAGTGAAAAATTCATTTTTTATTGAAAAATAGAAATTAGGTTCTGCATATTTCAAAGAACTTAAATGAGATCTTCAACTTGTTCTCTGAAAACACGAAGAACATGGTTTTTTCAGAGTGTGTTAACAGAGATTTTTTGGACTCAGGAAAATCAACGAGGAAGTGCCAGAAGAAAACTTTATTAAGAGTTGTCAGTGGACGGAGCAGAAAGCTTACACGGCGATCCCCGCGAAGTACAGAACTTGGCGAGGTACGGGGCGATGACGAGGCAGAAAATTTGCGAGACGATCCCTGTGAGGGACCCAAAGATAGTCCATCGCCCACCTTTGGTAACAAGTACTCCGAATGAGTTGAATGGAGCTCACTTATAACACACTGTTGCCCTCTGAAAATTCTGAAGATAGTAGTTAACTTCTCATAGGCGTGTGTTCAATTCGCTGATAATCACAAAGACATTTTCATGTAGAGAAAGAGATCTGTTTTACTTGATTAATATGCTTATTTGAAGAGAGAAGTGAATTCTTTTTTAAGTATTTGTAAAATACGTCTTAGTCTGACGAGGTAAAGGAGAATTTGTTGCTATATGAGACTCATTTTGATTGCCAAACAAAGAAGCAAAGAGAAAAAGAATGAAATGAAAGAGTCTAATTTCTTTTCTGTTCTGTTCATAAAATTTTGAACCATGTGTGTCGCCCATGTTTTTGCTATGAAATAGAAAAGAAAAAACAAACGTAAAATTTCTTTTTGTTCCGTTTTGCGTTCATGTGACACATTTCGCTCAGAACAACATAAAGGTAGAAAGAAAAAATAAACTTATGTGTATATATCTCATTCTTTATTTTGTGATTCATTCAAACAGTTGTAAATTTTTTTTTTCTTCCTTTTTTGATTTTCTTAAATGTCGACGAGCCATAGTATGCTGTAGGTCGTCGACATCGATCAATGTGTTTTTGTACACGCCGTTAAAAAGAGTGTTGATGAACAAAAAGATATTTTGTAGTTCAAGTAATTAATATTATTCAAGTCTAAACATGGTAGGATTTTAGTATTATAAATTATTTTACCTTGGTTGAACAAGAAGACAGCTACCCTTGATATAAATCTTAAGCTTACTAATAACGATCTATTAACAAATTAAAATACAATGTGTGCACTCATTGAAATTTTGAAAACAAATTATAATAAAAATTTTGAGTATCTTTTTTGGTCTTCTCACTATATTTGTTTCTCTGACTACAAGTTAAAAGTACGGGCGAACAGTTCAAAGTGTATTATTATCATTGTTCACAATAGATACGCTTCTTACATGTATAATATGAAAATTTCCTAAATAATACATCTTTTATTTAGAACGATATCGATCGAGGTAATCGAACAGATTCAACTCGAATCATGTCTTATCGAACAGCAGTAAATAAAAATCATATTACTCCACTACATAAACGTAAACAAAAACGTATTGGTAATGACATTGATTTATCAATGGTCGATGCTGATCTTATCTATGTGAGTAGTGAAGTCCTGGTTAGATCTTACAATGTTAGTACAAAGACAAATGTTGCATTTTTTTCTGTTTAGGATGAACATCAGATAACCATAGAAGAGTTAATTGTTCGATTTGATACTGATCTGAAAACGGTAATAGTCAAAGAAAATTTTTTGATTCTATTTGAACTATTTTACTTTATTACTTTAGGGTTTAACTCATATTCAAGCAAAACAACGTCTGAAAGATGAAGGTCGAAATTATATTGAACCACCACACGTTAGTGTTTCTACGTCTTGTCAACGTTTTTGGCTACAACCCTATGTCCTGTTTATATCCATTCTCAGTTTACTTGCCATACTCTGTTTTGTAGCATTTGCCATTCAGTTAAATACAAGACAGGATACAACATTTGAAAATGTATGTTAAAAACTTCTTTTTTTTCTACTTTAACAGGAACTGTTCTTTTTGGTTTTATTTCATTGTAGCTTTACATGTTAGTCGTACTAGTTATATTTATACTATTGCCAAGTATCTTTACATTTGCAGTTGGTCATATTAGTGCAAATAAATTACAACATCTTAGATATCAAATTAAACAGGTATGTTAGTAGTACAATGTGATAAAATGATTAACCAATAAAATTCATTCCGTGCTTAACTACTATAACATAGACACTATATTGGTTCTCTAGTTAGACACTTTTACTTTATTTTGAAAAGTTCTGTGTTTCGAAAAATAGTTTTCTCGATATATGCATGGTCATTTCTACTTGATAAATGAAAATGGAAGTTTGATATTAAACAATAATTGTACTGAACTTTAAAAAGTAAATTTAATTTTTTTTTTTGTTGAATATATCTATAACAGGCGTTGTTTAAATGGCTGTGTTGTTTAAAGCGTTTAAATTTTAACGCGGCTTATACATTTTGTTGTTGATGATAGATCTTCATCATTATAAGTCGGTGTCAAACAGATTATAGAACCTCTCTTATGTAATTATTTTCATTGTTGTTTGGGTTAATTATTTAGAGAAGAAAAAAGAAGAAAATCATACCACGCATAAAAACTTTAATTGATACATAAGGTTTTAGTTTTTTGTCCTTCTCATTGCTTTAAAAAAAAATTAGTTTTGGATGATAATTATCCTTCACGAATAGATGTCATTTAACACAGAAAGAGGCGGAAGCGTATGCATACACGTCAGACAAATGACCTTTATTAGTTCTTTTATTGTATTTTGTATACTTCTTATTCTTCAATTTCAAAATTCTAAAAAAACTTAAAAGTTTAACTCATGCATGGCCGAAGATAAACTAACATATTTTTTCTTAATCTAATAAGTTGATGATATCCAAAAACGGATGCACATTATAACAAAAAAATGTTTAATAAAATATTTCTTCTAATAACAATAATTTTTTTAATAACAATAACAACAACAAAATGTGGACAACAGTCAAAATGTGAACCAAGTGATCAATGGGAATGGACACAATGGTTTAATATTCATCATCCAACTCAAAAGGGTGAATATGAAATGTATACGGCCATACGTAGTCGTTATCCACAATTAGTATGCGCAAATCCAAAGGCAATATCGGCGATAAATCAAATGGGAGTGGATATGAATAATACACTCGATGTTATTGTTATTCGAAATTACGATATATTTTGTTTAAACAATTACGATACCAAATATCAACGAAAATTATGTGATGATTACAGTGTCAGATATTGTTGTCCACAAAAGTCAATAGTAGAAAAAAGTTCATATTTTTTAGATATTTTACCACATCAAACAAATTCTGTTCGTCCATTACCATCATATAACAATAAACAGCCTATATGTGGAAAAGTACCGATTATACCTCAAGCATCGAACAATTTCTTAATGACATTATACAATTCAATTATGTCTAAAATTATAAATGGTGTAGAATCAAAACCCAATACTTGGCCTTGGTTAGTCTCAATCGGTATTCGTTATCGAACAAATAATGGTTTATGGCAAAATCGAACGCATATTTGTGGTGGAACACTCATTGAACAATCACATGTACTAACGGCTGCACATTGTTTAGAACAAAAACTAGATGATCGATTTGTCCCATTTACAACAGCAAATCCAACATTGGAAAGTTTTTTTGTTATTCGAATTGGTATTCATGATATTCGTTTAACACGTTCAGATGAAATGTATACTGCAAAAAAAGTATGGATACACGAAAATTTTGTATCAAGTACATTTGAAAATGATATTGGGATTATAAGATTAAATCAGCCAGTGCCACTTAATCATCATACAAGTCCGATTTGTTTACCAACAAGTACAACATCAAGAAATTTAGAAGCGGGAAGTTCAGTTAGTATTGCTGGTTGGGGAACTATTTCTGAATCATCACGTGTACATTCAAATGTATTACGACAAGCAGACGTAAATTTATTAGCTCCACGATTATGTCGAGTATATACAGATGTTAATTTTGATGAACAAAAACAATTGTGCGCAGCAGCTTTAGATTGGTCAAAAGATACTTGGTAATAATAATTCTATTTTTTGCATTTTTAATGAGAAAAAATTAAATTTAACATTTTCTTTTTCTAGCGCTGGCGATTCTGGAGGTCCTTTAATGTTTCAAGAAAATGGTACATGGAATATTGGTGGTATTACAAGCTATGGTTTCGGTTGTGCAAAAAGAAATTTTCCTGGTGTTTATCTACGTACAATACCATATCTAAATTGGATTAAACAAAAAATGCTTAACGCATTTTAATAGAATATCAGTGTCTAGTTCTTTTTTACATATGCTTTTTTACATTTGTCAACTTTTGTGTTAAATGATAAATAAATAATTTTTGTTAATTAAGATATGATTTTATAGAAAAGATTTTAGTCTTAAAATTCATTATAATAACGAAGTTTAAGATTTTTTTCTATTTTTATTCTAGCAAGTTGATGTGAAACGTGAAGGAGCATTAGAAAGAATTCATTCTGAAAATCTTGTACGTGGTGATATTATCCATGTCAGAGGCGGTGATCGTGTAGCGGCTGATATTCGAATTGTACATTCATCTGGTCTGTTGGTAAGTATATAATCAAAAATAGTTTAGAAAATTAAACATATCCGTTAATCAGCATTATTACATCTTTGTAACACAATCCTCTATGAATATCGTAAAAAATAATTATCGTTTTTAGGTTGATAATTCCATCATAACGAAAGATGCTGATCCTGCTTCAAAATCAGCTGATTTCACAAGTGAAAATCCATTAGAAACAAATGTAAGAGAGTGATGAATTGCTCTTGTTACTTAAAGAAAACGTATAAATGCAATTGTCTGATTATTTTAGAATTTAATTTTATGTGGTACAAGTGTTATCTATGGAACAGCCATTGGTATTGTTGTTAAAACTGCTGAACATACACTTTTGGGCAAAATGTCCAATATTACTGAAAGTATGTTGAATTCAACTAATTGTTAAAAGTATTTCAATAAATATATGCGTTTTATTAAATAATACTTTTTATTTAGGTCTTGATCCTAAGCGAACGATTTATGCTCGAACAATTCGAGCTATTTTTCTTGCATTAACCGTACTAGGATTAGCATTAGGCTTGATATTTTTTATTGTTCTCTATGCAACCGGTTATTATTGGTTGTATGCTGTTCAAATTATGATATCTGTTTATCTTGCATGCATACCAGAAATATTGCCAGCCATTGCTCAGGTAAGATACAACATTCATTTTGTATTATTCATCAGTATTATTGTTGTTTGTTTTAGTTGTGTTTAACACGAACAGCTCAACATATGGCCACAAGAAATTGTTTGGTGAAGGTTATAGATGCGTTGTACGATCTGGCATGTACAACAATATTATTTATTGATAAATCAGTGTTAACTACAAATAAAATGGCAACGAGTCAAATTTGGATACCATCGAATCAAGAGCGAATTATTTCAGCAGCACCTACAGATGATTCAACTGGTACGTTAATTTTTCATAAAATAATCTGTTTTATCTCACTATTTGAATGTTTCAGTTATTGAGGAATTTCGTTCAATGCCAGGTTGGCAAAATATTATGCGTGCAGCAGTATTGTGTTGTAGAGCGGAATATTTTACTGATCAACATAATACGAGTCGACAAGTATCTTTTGGCGAATGGTAAATTCATTTCTACGATTATAAATAGAAAATTAATTATATAAATTTGTCTCTAGGGACGGTGATGCAAGAGAAATAGCCCTATTAAAGTATGCTGAATATGCTGAACTTGATATTCTAGAAATTAAACGATTGTATCCAAGACAGAGAATATCACATTTTACACCAGAAACAAAACGAATTGTAAGTATAAATTTGTAAAATGCTCCTTTTGACTAAATAACATTAGTTTAAAATTTTTCTAAGGAATCATATCATTTTATCAATGAAACCAATCTGATGGTAAACCTTGATTGTATGATGGGTGCACCTGAACGTGTGTTTGGCCGTTGTGCGACAGTTTATGTCAATGATGATGAAATCCCGAAAGATGCAAATATGGAACGATTATTTAATGAAGCCTGTATACAAATGGGTTCACTTGGAGACACTGTTCTCGGTAATTAAATGCTGAACTTTCGAAATACTCTCTGAGTAGCCTAGACTCAATTTTCAGTAATTATTTTCATTTAGGTTTTGCTGATAGACAATATAATCGAGGCGATGAAAATCAAGAAACATGGCGTTTTCTTGGTTTAATATCATTGAGCGATCCAATACAAGAAAACGTTATAACAGCTATTGAAAAATGTCGTTTAGCCGGAGTTAAAGTATGTGTTCATCGTTCTTTCTTTGTTTTTCTTTAATTAATGATAAAATCTATTTTTTATCTACAGGTAATATTGATTACTGGTGATCATCCAGTTACAGCATGTGCACTAGCTAAACGATTAAAAATATTCTCACCAAATTCTGAAACTGTGGAAGATATAGCCATGCGACGCGGTGTTCCTCTCGAGCGTGTGGCAGCTCGGTAAGTACACGACATTTCCAAATTAAAAACTTATCATCCATTATTTATTTATCTTGATATAGAGAAGCGGATGCTATAATTATTCATGGTCGTGATATTCAAGCTATATCACAACTAGAATTAGCTGATACAATAATAAATGCACCAGAAGTGGCGTTTGCTCGTACAACATTGCGTCAAAAACAAAAAATAGTTGAATGTAAATTTTCTTTAGCTATAGAATAATTAACGAGTCACAATAGTTCTATCTATCTTTGTCTCATACAGGTGCTCAACTTGGCAGCGCTGTTGTAACATGTTTTTGTCAATCAGCCGATGATCGTGGTGCAATTAGAAAAGCCGATGTTAGTGTAGCTATGTTGAAAGGCAGCAGTGAATCAAGTCGACAAGAAGCTGATCTCGTTTTATTAGATAATGATCTGAATACGTTAGTGGCTGCTATTGAAGAAGGTATGAACGTTTATTTGATAGAGTAATACACCATTAGTCACAGTAATTTTTTTGTGTTTGAAGGACGATATTTGTGGGAAAACATCAAAAAATGTCTTGCCTATTGTATGGTTATCAATATACCCGAATTAGTTCCCTTTTTAATGTTTCTTATTTTACAAATACCTTTGACACTTGGTCCAATAACATTATTAATTATTGATCTAATAACAGAACTTTTACCAACAATAAGTTTGGCATATGAAAAACCAGAATCTGATATAATGACAAGAGGACCAATAGATAAATTTCGAGATTTATTGATCAATCGACGGTAAACTCTGTTCACTATACTTGATTAAACAATGTTTAATGATTTTTCTAAATTTTAGTCTATTATCGTTGGTTTGGGGACAAATTGGAATGTTACAAGTATCAGCTGGATTTTTCACCTATCTTGTTGTTATGGCCGAAAATGGTTTTTGGCCATCAAGATTACTTGGTAAAGATTTACAGAAATAATATTAATTTTCTTTATTAATGCATACGTGTGTATTCTATTTCAAGGCATTCGTAAAGCATGGGATGCAGCAGCCATAAATGATTTAGAAGATTCTTATGGACAAGAATGGGTATATTTAATAAATATATAAAAAAATAAGAGTATTTTTTTTATAGTTTAATTCTAATTTTTAGACTTATCGTCAACGTAAATTATTGGAATACGTCGGTTATGCATCATTTCTTGCCGCAATTATTATAGTTCAAATAGCTAATTTATTAGTATGTAAAACTAGACGATTATCATTATTTCAACAAGGAATTCGATCGTAAGTCTATTCTCATAAACATATTAGAAATTATAATTTTACATTACATTTTAGGAATGTATTTGTTATTTTTTGTATTATTTTTATGCCAACAGTTGCTGTTGCACTAATTTATATTCCGGGTCTTAATCGTGCACTTTTCTTGGAACGATTACAGTATGTATATTGATCAATTAATATCAATAAAAGAATTTCTTGTCTATCTCATCCTTTTAGACCTCTATGGTGGCTACCACCTATTCCATTTGCCATCATGATATTTATTTATGATGAAATACGTAAATTAATGATTCGAAAACATCCCGAAGGTTGGGTAGCACAGGAAACATATCATTGAATGTTTATTGGAAGATTTAAAATTCAGATAAATTTTTTTTTTAATCTCAAATTTTACTCTCCATGCTCAATGGTCCATCTAGCTCATTCTTTATAATGTTGTAAATTTGTTCAATTTTGATTCTATTTTGTATTCTATTTCTTTATTATAGTTTAATTTTTTTCTATGTATATCTATATTATGCTAGGAATATTATCTATTTGTTTTGTTATCTAAAAATAGTTCAGATATTTCTTCTTTTTTTTTTACACGAAATTTTTTTGTAAATATTTTTTATATACTCGTTTTTTTGCACGTTTTTATTTTGTTACTTTATTGTAATAAATACTTTTGATTCACACAAAAAGCCAATGGTAAAATTAATTGCTTTGATGGTGTGCAATTGATCAGTGCGAACAAAAATAAGTAAGAAAGTGACTGCATCGAAATAATTAAAAATTAAATTAGTTTGAAGATTGGTGAAAAAAAATGTATATTACTTCATCCATTTCTGTTGCTTTGAAAAATTGTTTTGGAAACAGATTTAGAGACATTAATTAAGAGTTTTAAATATGTTTCCTTTTTTGAATTTTATCTACTGTTACCGAGATTCTACATTGTAGATGGCGTTGTTTTTTACAAATATCTTAGTTTAACAGTAGAAAGTATTCAAAACGGAAACAGATTTGCAACTCTTAATCAATGTTTCTAAATCTGTTTTTAAATCAATGTTCCAACACAACAGAAATGCACGAAATAGAAATATTTTTAGATTGAATAAATAAGTGCAAAACAAGGAAAAAATTACTCAAGCACTATCTCATCCTTTCCTACAAATGTTTATTAGAGCAGGTGCTAAAGCTGTCACGTTCACTGTCAAGATATCGTGGAAAAAGCGGAAAAATCTCCTCCTTGTTCACCAAATAATTGAATACTTCATGTAAAATGTTTATTAGTAATTTAGTAAAGGGAACCAAAGTTTAATCAGTATATAACAAATAAAAAATATATTGAATTTTTCTGCCTTAAAAATTTTTTTTCGAATGAACTAAGATTATTATATATGTCTAAAAATAAGGTCTTATTTTCATCGAAAACTATTTTTATCATATAGGTCTCTCTCTCTCTCTCTCTCTCTCTCTCTCTCCCTGATAATATTTGTTTGTTTTTCTAGATGATAATGTGCATATAAACATTTTTTACTTTTAAAACAAAATATTGTGTTGATTAATATGTGTATTGGTATTAATAATATTTTCCATTCTTCTTTAAGAAGATTAATCCAAAGACATATAGTTCATCATTTTTTATCACGGAGACTGAAAGAAAAAAAAACCCTAAAGAAAGAAAAAGAATATTCTCGCCATATATATTCTATTCTATAAGATAGAAGTGACAAACACTGATTTAGAGCATATCTACTGTATAGCACATAGACCACTCTATAAAAAAAAAAGAGAGCTTAATTTAACAAAGACCTGGATATGATTTCAAAGTATAAATACCTCGATTGAGAACGGAACTGAATCTCTTCTTTCTCTCTGTAATTTTTTATATATATTTGAAGAGATATATATTTGCTATGAGATAGAGTTTGTTTTTCTGCCAGATATATCTTACGTAAAAAAAAAATATATATATATAAAAAATACGCATGAAAATTTCATAAAAATAGAAACTTATTAGGATGTGTATACTTTTAATGTTGTCTGGTCTTTTCCTAGGTGCTTTTGTAGTGAGTTGTTTCATTCTGTTTCTTCTTCTTCTCGTTTATTGATGAGAGTCTGACACATCAAAACAGAAAAATCTATCTATGTGTCATCATCATCATTGTACTATTGAAGGACGAATTATTTTCTGTGAAACATTCATACAACTAGATAATAATTAAAAATTAGCAAACGTTTAACTACCTTTATTAATTAGGATTCATCCATAATGATAGAAAGAAGCTAAAAGATTAAATCTAAGTTTAATCCAGGGATCTTATTTCTACTTCATTATGCAAGGTTACTCAAGCCTCAAAGAAAAAGAATTGTCAAATAACAGTTAAATTTGTTTATTTGCTCAAAATTTATCGATTTATCATAGACATACTTGAAGGACTTGCCGTGATACGTAAACAATGAACTAATAATTCTTCTTTGTTCTTTTTTGGTGTTGCTCAACAACAGAATAAGACATTCATTTCCTTTTAACCCTATTTTCGAAGTGCAAGTGACATATAGGAAAATAAAAAATTTCTACACTCTCGTTCTATTATATTTTCATGTTCAAGGTTTTATGATCCATGACATTGTATACGTTGTGTTGTGTACTTCGAGGTCTCTCTCTTTACACAAGAGGCTGCTAATCTATCGTAGTCGCAGTAGTAGTTAAAAACAGAACAAAAAAGAGAAAATATAGCCATACGTTCGTTTTGTCGTCTTCCTCGCTCTTTACTGCTCGCGACCTCGATTTCCAGGTTTGAATAATAACAAGAATGTTATTTTTTTTCTTCTGCATTGTCTACAGAATGATCGAGGGTTGTGTTTGTGTGTATTTCTCAAAAATTGTATTAATTCTAATACACACATTTCTTCAATTTAATTTTTTCTTCTTCTCTTCAAGGTCGTTAATAAGTGGTTTTCTCGTAGAAGAAGAAAAAAGACAACAAATAATTTACTACTATGTGCAGTCTTAGATCAATTAAGTCTGGTTAGAACATGGTATAGACAAATACAAAGATAGATCCCATATATTTCAAGGTTATACAACTGCCAAATCCGTTCGTCATTTTGTTTTTCCTTTTTTTTTGTTCTTTAACACTTTATGAATAGTGAATAAAAAAATCTAAGTCAGCAAAAAAAAGGAAGACATTACATGGTTAATAAACTTTCTCAAGATTAGACAAAAAATAGTAACGTAAAATTATACGCAAAGTACATTTTCTCCAGACGTATCTATAAATAGTCTTCCAGCTAAAAGTAATAAACAATATAGCTTAAAAGATCATGGAATTATTGAGAAATATGAAAGTTCTTTAGTTATCGTTTTGTAGATTAAAGTAATAAGGAAATGCCCTTTTTCATATGGGCAATCCCAAGGTGTCGCGCAGGGTCTATTATTTCGACTAAAAGAAATATCTGAATTTTATTCACTCCTATTCCTAGACCGTTTAAAATTAAGACAAGAAATGTCATCTGCTAAGTTTCGATAAGCTTTTCGTCCACCTTTTATCAATAAAGTACTCATAATAAACTATGATAAAACAGATGCACAGTTTTTATTCTATGCAGTTGTTGTTCTTTTTATGCACCTGGAGAAAAAAGATCTCTGCAGCAGGTGTTTGAGATAACAAAAGAAAAAACTATGATAGAAAATATAAGAATGCCAGTGTTTGTCTATACAATGAATAATAACAGTAGTTTCTTAAATTCTAACATGAATTGATCATAACATTATTTTTATATCGTCGCGATGATGACATCGAAAGTAAGATATCATATTGCACTGAATATAGACAATTATAATGATGATAGAGATGTGTCATCATCGTACAGTTTTTTCTTAAACACACAAAAAGAAATAAAAAAGATTGTCTATGTACGCGCGGTTGATTTTTAGACGAAAAAGAAATATTGTTATAGAATAAGGAAGAAACACAAGAAGAAAAACAAGTGATAAAATCCTTCAAGAATCTAGGCACTATATTATCCAGGGAAATATTGTGTGTTGTCTAGAATGAGCAGTATATTTTACAAGTTAGAGAATAAGAGAGAAAAAGAACAGAAAAAGAGAAAATCGAGACAAAGAGAAGCTAAAAAAAAGAAATAAAACACCGTGGTACTCTAAAACACAGAACAAAATCATCACAAAGGATTTTTCGTCTTTTTTCTTTTTCCACAAAAGCATTTAACTTAAAAATAAAGAAGAAGAAGAAAAACGAAAAAAAAATATGTTCTAATCTCTCGTTTTTAACATGTTTTGATTGTATAACTCGTTCTAATGATGATACAGGTTTTAGAATAATAAATTTTTGTTATCATTTCCTATTGACGCCAAGTGTTCTTACCTCATTATTCAACGTGCAATGTTGTATAGACATCTTTAAAAAAACAATGCCAATTTTAATGTTCATTTAAAATTAAATTAGCCAATCACAATTTTTCATAACGAGATATCATTCTAAGGTATGTACATACTGGATTTTTAATCAATAACGTCAACAAAAAAATTTTTAATCAAGTTTATATGAGTAATAATAGTTGAGAATTTACGATGATGTAACTGCGTCTGTTAGTTGCTTAAAACTGATTCTTGGAAAATCCTACTGTCATTAAGTGTATGGGGAAAAAGTAACATTTGTTTAGGACTTTGCTTTAGAATCAACGAAAAACTAAGAGCATTTGAATATGTCTTTTCCAAAAACGTTAAGTTTTCATTATGTTTTCATCTATATAACTTTCAACGTCTGAAAAAGATATTCTTTGTTTTCTAACGGTTAGCTTTCGTGTCATGTTATTGATGTTTAATTCGACAATTTTTCGTATTGTTGAAAATCTCATATCATCTTGTGGAAAGAGACGTGGAAGGGCATCGCGAAATCTTGTGTGCACTCAGTATTGCAAAAACTGATGCTAAAAAATATCTTATTTTCTAAAAATCGGTTCTACACTACTACTTATTAGAGCTAAGATTAAGCTACGTATAAACTGTCATTACTTTTGACAGGAGGCTTTCGATATTAATTATGTATTAACAAAACTCATGATAGATAGAAATTATCTATAATTTCTGAAGAAGAATGAAAAGTGGCCACAAGATCTTGTAGTCTAAAAAGATTTCTCTCAACACGTATTTTTTTGCGAAAAGAGTGTATTTACAATATCTTCGATGCGTCTTTGAAAGAGATATTTCAATGCTAAGCTGCCAAAAGCGTCTTCAAAATAGTTGTATTAGCACAGCCGAGATTCGACTATTCTATCTTTTTTGAAAATCCAATTTTTAGAGTGTAGTACAAGAAATTGTAACAAGAAATT